CCCTCCCCCTCCTCCCGCTCCTCCTCGTCCGCGTCCATCGGCTCCGCGCCGTCCTCCCCGCCCGCTGCCGCCCGCCGCCTCCCGCCGTCACCGCCGCCGCCAGGCTCGTCCTCCGCGGCCGCCAGGTTCTTCGCGAGCATCTTGGAGTATGCCTCGGTCTGGCCGACGATCAGGTCCAGGTGCTGGTCAAGGACCTGTTGGCGGTCCAGGTTGACCGGGTCAAACGCGGTCAACAACACGACAGAACCGCAAAAGGCGGCGGCGAATGGCTGAACGGCCATGCGCACGGCGACGTGTGACGCGTCAGGCGCTGCATCACAGCGGGCAACGGCTCGTCCGCGGCCCCCCAGCCGCGGCGCGGATCGGGGGCCCCGCGGCCGCCGCACCTGGCGCTTGCGCTCCTGCACCGCGACGTAGAGCTTGTAGCTGACCACACGCTCCGCCTTGGCCCAGAACGCGCCCACCTGCGAGCGATAATACGGAACCGGCGTCGGCGCCGGCGCCGCGTGGGCGCACGCTCTCCCCGTCCTATCCCCCCAAACCCGCCCTGGGCACACGCGCGCCGCCCGCTTGCGCGGAGCCGCCGCCGCCGCCGCCGCCGCCACAACGCGCGGCTGCCTCGCCTCAGCCCCCTGCCTGCCACTGTCCACGTGCCCCCGTCGCTCCTGCTCTCCCCCCCCCCCACTCCGCCCACAACCCTGCGCCCCCACCTGCTGCGCGATCCACTTGGCCTTGTCCCTGATGCGCTTCTCCTCATCCTGCGCCTTGACCACCTTGCGGCTGTCCAGGTCCAGGCGGCTCTTCTTGACGCCGTCAACCAGGCGCTTCGCAAAGCCCACCTTGAACTTGCGCTCCCTTTTGGGGCGGGGGTGGGGTCGGCGGGAGGGCGGCGCCGAGTACATGCCAGCGCGCACGAGGCCTGACCCATGGTTCGGCAATGCATGGATGCCAGCTCGCCAAGCAGGACGGGCCCCTGCCCGGCCGGCGCCCCGGACCGGCAAGCAGGCTTTGCACCCCCCCTCCCAGTAGGCAGGCCAGAAAGGCGGCTGCGGCGCCGCTGCCTCCCACGGGGACCCTGTGCTGCGCGCAAGTCCAGACAATGCGAGTCGTGCAAGCCACCCCTCAACACAGCTGCACCGCGGCAGCGGCCGCCCACCGCGCGAACTCGTCGGCCATCCATTTCATCTCCGCCATGAGTGTGTCCCAGTGCGTCTTGTTGAACCGCGGCGGCTCCCGCACAGACGCCATCCTCGCACCCGAGCGCCCGGCCGCGATCGCGGCTGCGTGCGCGAGCACGGCGACCTGCCGCTCCTTTGGCAGGTCTGCCGCCGACGGCCCCTGCGCGCGCCGCGCCGCCTCCGAGGCCAGGAGGGCGATCTCCGATGCCGGCAC